AAATGACATTAGCTGATCGTAAAACGAGTGGAATGAGCGCTGGCTAAGCAGGCAAGTTTGCTCTTGTTAATCGCTGTCCACTTTATTGGGTAATAAAACCGCTTTTATGGGGTAGGTGTCACTCTTTGCCTGTTGTTGTTTGGTTGTTGTTGCTGGTTTTTTGGTGGTTTTTAATCGGTGGGCTGTTGCTTGTTGAGTTGTTGTTTGGGGGTATTTGTTTGAATGTTGGTTTTGCTGATTGGTTGTTGTTTGAATGTTTTTGTTGCTGTTGTTGTCTTGTGTTGTTGTTTTGTAGATTTTTAATTTTAGGCGGGATTTTTTAAAATCTGGTTGTTGAAATTTGTCAGATGCTCTAGTTTTCGTTGTTTAAATGTTATATTTAGTTGTTTGAGAAAAATTTATTGCTTGGATTTTGTTGCTCATGTTGTTTGAAAATTATTTGGAAATGTTTTTGTTGTTGTTGTTTGATGTTGTAATGGATTGTTGGTTGTTTCAAATTAATGTTGTATTAGGGTTGATTTTGTCAATGCTGTTGCATTTGTTTTGGCTCATTTATTTAAATTTGTTGAAAAAAAAAATTTTAATTTTCAGGAAATAAAATTATTTGTTTTAATTATTTACAAATTAGATTTTCGGGCGATGAACATTCTTTTTTAAAATTTTGAAAAGTTTCCATCAAACACTAATCATCATTAATTTCAATTTAACTAATCAATTATCGCAACTATTTCAACTAATCAATTACAATTAATCACATTTTAAAATTAATTCTTCCAAAAATCATTACTCGCCTTGAGTCGTGTGTCTGCTTATTGCTTAATGTATACCTATATATAGATATATTTGACTGCATGCGTGCAAGTGAATGATGGATGTATTGTACATTATCGCTACACTTAGTGTGCGTGTGTATATATGTGTACGTATGTGTGTGTGTGTTTATGTATGTGTGTGTATGTGTGTGAATGTGTGTGTGTATGTGTGTGTGTGAATGTGTGTGTGTTATCATAACCAATCACTTGACATTCGTTTCGGCCAATATCAGAAATGTATGCGCTATATTTAAAAATCTGATATAGGATCTGATTGACTCAAAAAAAGCAGCTGATTGCGAGCGAGATGCCGTTGATGATGAAAATGATGATGATGATGATGACAAGGTTGATGATGAAATAAACGATGATGATGCGTAAAGGCGACGATAATGATGATGAAAATGATGATGAAGAAAGTGATGATAAAAATGATGATGATGATAATAATGATGATGATGATGTTGAAAGTGATGATGATAATGAAGATGATGCATGCAATCGAGACTGGATCGATAATGATAATGATGGAGAGAATGATGGAAGCCGACATGTAAGCTGCCAACACGTGATGATGATGATGATGATGACGACGACACGTGATGATGGTGACGGCAATAAAAATGATGATGACTGTGATGATAAAAGTGATAATGATGACGAAGTTGATAATGATGGTGATGATGATGACGCCGACGACCTGTATTATATTTATTATTTTATTTAATAATAATATAAGTAATAATAATAATAATAGTAATATTATTATATTATATTAATATTATTATTATAATAATAGTTATTATTATTATTATATCAATAATAATAAAATGAATTATAACTTTTTTAAATTCAGACAACAACAAATATATATGAACCCTCCTCGAACACTGAATCAAAAATCTAAACGAAAATCAGAAACATTTAAACTATCGTAATAGATGCAAAAAGAAAAATTTCGCCAGACGACCAAAAATTGACCGGGAAAACCCAAAGACTGATACGATGTTGACGATCGTTCCTTTAAATTGTTAGCTCTCCTGAGAGAAAATTTCATCACAAGACAATCCTCCGAAGGTGGCTGGCGACAAAAACGTCGCTTATCGCGCCCAACTACTACAACTATAACAGCAGCCACAACAACTGCAATAACCACAGCAACAATTTATGTTTTAACAACAACTATTGTTGAAATTTAACTTACAAGTTAACTAACAAGTTTCAATTTAACCAACAAGTCAGAAGTTTACACAAAAAGTTATTCAGAAAAAACGTTTAATTTTACCGCAAAATACCTAAGGTTAGAATTAATTCACTTAGTAGAAGAACAATGATTACAACAGCAACAACAACAACTATTACATTTTTAATGTAACAACAACAACAACTGCATCTAGTACAACAACAACGACTGCATCAATTACAACAACTACAGTGACAACAACTCAACAACAACAACATCAATTACAACAACTACAATAGCAACAGCTCAACAACAATAAAGAATAAAGAAGTTAGAGAAAATTTAAATAGTTGGGAAATGTTGAAAATTTGGAACGGAAACAAAATATAATAGAGTCAATTGTTCAGAAACAAAAAAAAACTAGTTCATAGCAAACTTTTTTTGGCTGTAGCAAAATTTTTAAAATAATTTTTAAGAAAAAAACTATTTTTTCACAGATAGTTTTATCGTTAGTGTTATAATTATTGTAATCATTCGCATAATCATCGCTACAGTCGTTACCATTTTGTCATTATTACCATCGTATCTTTCTGTTAACGCTGTCACTGTATGGTCATATCATTGTTTCAATCTTCATCATTATTTCCAACAAATCATCGTCAGAAATTTTATTATCACCGCTGGCCGCAGATGAAAAACATTCGAACTCATTCCATCATCAGCTTCTTAACCAAGTAACCACCACAAACTGTTTAATCTTAAGCAGAAAAAAACGTCATCAACTACAAAATTGCCGACATGCCAACGACATAGACAACAAACCACCTAACCCAGCAATACGAATATGATATCACATCGATACCAACAACTGCACACGAAACCTCTTTCCCTTCTTTCCCAGCTACCTCCTCCTCCACTCTCTCTCTCATCACCGATAATGCTACACGAACAACAACAACAACAACAATTAACGAACTCACTGCAGCCAGATTCGTTGCTAACAACTAAACAACCAGACGAGTATATGGACAACACTAACAACAGTTTCGCCACAAATGAACTCTTCTTACCAAACACGTTCAGTCACACAAAATCATTCCTAGAGGATCTCAATGCGAACTCGCCAAACATGGCCACACCTCCGCATCTTGGAAGTGGTAGCGCCAACAACGGCAACATGGTTCCTCCACTGTACCCTATTCCTACCCAAAATGGGTTTACCCAGTATGACAATAATCTTTTCAACCAAAATACGTACTTTTCAATGGATGGCAAACAGAGTATTGGCCCGAAGACATACCTCAACAATGAAGCCGATTACCATTCTGGTTCTGCATTCTACAACCCAAAATTATTGAACAACAACAACAACATCATCAACAACAACATCATCAACAACAACAACATTATCAACAACAACATCGTCGATCCGATGTTGCAGAATCCGTGGAGTTATCACCACCACCACCATCAGCAGCAGCAACATCAGCCACAACATCAAATG